ACTACTACTACTACTATACTACTAATAGTACAATACTACTTCTTCTACGTTCGAGTATACCCAATACCCAGTACCCACGATACTTGTATTATACCTACTACCTACTATACTTGTTATCGGATACTCCCATAGGATCGAAACACTTTTTTCTCGCACATCCCTCGGAACTTGATGGATGTAGCTTTTGTTGCGGCTGCAGAGAGAGTGTCTAGGCTAGATCACGAGACAGTTGGGGGTCGAAGCATTTCGCCGGATGTGATGACCGAAAGCCCACAATGCTCTTCAGTTTCCGAATACCAGACAAACGAAGTACCGGATGTCGGGTGTCGATTGAAACCGACTAGACAATGATTTTGTTCTCTAGGACACCAAGAACTCATAGGAATTTCTAGACTGTGGACCACTGAAGCATGTAAGTTTCGTAGAAAGCACAACACCATACCATCGAAGTTTGATCGAATATTTCATCGGAATTTCGACATGCCAGGTCGAAGTTTGACCGAAGTTTCGTCGAAACTTCGACCCCCCAAGGTCGAAGTTTCGACACCCTTAAGTCGAAGTTTCGACACCCTACCGGTCGAAGTTTCGACACCCGAGGTCGAAGTTTGCAAGTTGTGATATTACAATTCACTGTAAGGGTAGCGCTTTTAGCAAATTGGTGTCGAAGTTTCGGCTCGAAACTTCGACCTGGGGTGTCGAAACTTCGACCAGGGGGTGTCGATTCTTCGACCTGGGGGGGTCGAAGTTTCGACGAAACTTCGATCAAACTTCGACCTGGTCTGGTGGATCACTTGCATTTATTGAATTGATATTCCGTTCCCTGCTGCTACACGGAGACGAATAAATCAAACGAGCCGGTACCGCAACAGCAAAAAAATGTCCTTACTCTTTGCTCCCTTCTTTCTCTCTCATGGTTTCTGTCTCGCTCAAAGTCACTCTCAGAGTCGCTGCCGGGCAGCCGGTGGGAGAGGCGAAGAACCTGCCCGCAGGGACGGTAGGTTTAGAATTATAGAACCGCACGAGCGGCTTTGTGTGTTGCAGGTTTGAGGTTCTAGGGTTTCGACAGATCTAAAGGTTTTGGCTTGGTTTGTTTTGGTGTTGTAAGGTTCTAGGTTTTCGGCAAGTTTAGGGGTTTTGGCTTTGTAAGTTTCAGCCAATACAGATATAGGGCTGGTTTCCAATGTTCTGGGTTTCGACAGGTTTGGGGTAGTATTTCTTATGATAGAGGGCTTTCTGTGTTTCGGGTTTAGGTATAAGGTTCTAGGGTTTCGACATAGGTTTAGGGATTTTGGCTTTGTATAATTCAGCCAAAGTCGTCGGAGGCTGGGCTCAAAGAAGCTCGTGGGGGTTTGGATTTAAGCTTCGGGGCCGCTTTCGGTAAAGTTCGAAAATTGCCTGGGATATTTTGGTGTTTGCATATCGACCCGAAAACCTTTAAACCCTGTAACCCTAAAGCCCCCAAACCCTAGAACCCAAACCCCAAAACCCTTAAACCCTAAAGCCCTAAACCCTATAACCCCTAAACCCTCAAACCGTCTATATCAAGCCCTAAACCCTAAAACCCTAAACCCTTAAACCCTAAAACCTTAAACCCAATAATCCATAATCCCTAAAACCGTCGATATCAAGCCCTAAACCCAAATTTTAAAACCCTAAACCCTGAAACCCTAAAACCCTAAACCCTTAATCCCTAAACCCTAAAACCGTCTATATCAGCCGACCAACCCTGTAAATAGATGAACACAAGCACACCTCGACCCTGGTAACAAACAGAAGCCCGTGAACCTGACAACACTCCACACCTTAAACCCTGCAACACCTTTCTAACTCTATCGTTGTAAGACTCTGAAATCCGGACTGCGACTCCACATCCTGAGGCTTTGGGGTTTGGGCGCTTTTGGATGTGTTGAGCTTCAGCCCATTAAGGTTTCATAATTGTGTGCATTTGCAATCTATCTCTAGGTGGAAATTATTTGTGTATGTAGATGCACATATATATATATATGTGTGCATACAATTTCAACACATTGTGACTTTGAGGGGGACCAAGAGAGTCATAGAGAGGATTTAGGGTTTAGGGTTGTAGGGTCTTAGGGTGTATGATCTTATATTTATAAGGCTTTGCAGGTGTGGTTTTAGGGTATACAAGGGGTTTCTTGATAAGGGTCTATACAGGTGGGGGCTTATAATTTGAGAGCAAAAGAGCACAAACCCTTGTTTCTCACGATCGGCGGTGTCGCGACCGATCCCTCCTCCTCCTCCGCCTCGATGGCGATCTCCTCCTCCTCCTCCTCCTCCTCCTCCTCCTCCCTCTACTCCTCCTCCGCCGCGATCGCGATCTTCGCCGCCGTGATCGCGATGATGTGCTGCTGGAGCTTCTGCTTCTGCTGGACTCAGCATCTTCAGCAGGACTCGTCGCTGCATGCTCAGCGAAAAACCTCTGCAGCTCCTCATCCTCTATCTCCTCATCATCATAGCCATCATCCTCCACCATCGGAGGGGATTCCATTGTAGCATCTGGCAAAACGGATTCCATTGGAGCAGCCGTTGGCAAAACGGATTCCATTGGAGCACCAGCCTCTGGCAAAACGGATTCCATTGGAGCACCAGCCTCTGGCAAAACGGATTCCATTGGAGCACCAGCCTTTGGCAAAACGGATTCCATTGGAGCAGCACCATCCTTTGGCAATTCCAATGGAGCAGCAGCAGCCTTTGGCAAAACGGATTCCAATGGAGCAGCTTGCATCTTCACCATAGCCGCACGAATCAAGTGAGCAGGCGGAGCACACTTCGGAGGCCTCGGAACCAGCGGGACAGCAGCTTTCGGAAGTGGCAGTGGCGCACCAGGCACACTAGGGCCAGCTTTGCTCTGAGTACCCATCCTGCTCCTTGGCCTGGCGACCTCAGCCTGCACCGTGCCAACACCAGGAAGAAAAGCATTGTTCAGCTCCGATGCCATATATGCAGCATAATCGTCGTCCCAGACACCCACATAAGCATTGCAAAACCTTGCATCTTGCAAACGACCGCTTCTCACCAGCTGTATGTTCTCAAAGACCCAGCCTCGACTTCGCAGCTGATAACCAAGAATATTGGTCGTGTAAGTGTTGTCCACATACTTCAGAAAAACCCGCGACATGATTGAATTATCGTGCACACCGTCGGCCTATAGCAAAGTTTAGGGCTAAAGGGTTTAGGTTTAGGTTGTGTGGGGTATAGTGTGTGGGTTAGATTAGAGATGCCTAGGCCGAAAAAGGACCCGTCCTAAAGTGTCCAGGCTTGCAGGTCTATGCCCAGAGAGTGTCCATGAGAGTCTCTATAAAACTACTTGTTGTATATGTTCACAGTATGTCACTATTATGGTATAAAATCGGAGTATATGTGAGGTCTAATATAATCATTATATGGTATACTATATGCAGGGTGGGTATTCCTCCTGTGTTGTATGTGTATCCTGTCCGATCTAGATTCAATATATAGCTGTGTCCATGTGTACAGCTTGACATGAAAACACACTCTCTCAGCACTTCTGGGCCTCCTGCTGCGAAACTGCAAACATGAACCGTGAAAGCCCGAAATACCCACCAAAAGAGACTATTGGGGACATTGGTTTAATAGGGGGTTGCATTCGGCGCATGTTTCGGGGGTTGTTATTTCCTGAAGGCCTTCGGTATGAAATAGGGGTAACATGACGATGTTCATCATGGGGTGGTATAATCGTGACTTCGACTGTTGTGGTGCCACTTTGGGATTTAAAGCTGAGTCGGGGGTTTGTTGTGATTGGTATAAACCCCAACCCCGAACCCTTAAGCCCGAAACCGTTTCTATATATATATATATATACACACACAGAAACCCACAACCCCCTCTCTCTCAAAGTCCAAACCCAAACCCTGAACCGTGTAATAAAAGGCTCCAGAACATCCTGGAAATTGGGATTTGGGGCTTGGCACTTGGGGTTTAAGGTCTAGGCGCTCATAGGGTTTAGGGTTAGGGGGTCCAGGGTTTTGGGGTTTTAAACTGCACAGAACGGATTGAATCTGATACAAGGATATAGCTTATATATAGGAAAGAGTAGTGCAAATGCATATAGATAAATGATATATATATATATATATATATATATACTGTTTAAAACATAATATGTATAGTTGCATTCATATATATATATATATATATACATACACATAAGTGTATAAGGGCTTGTATATGAGATTTGCTAGTCTAGCATCAAGCATCAACCCCAACACCACCATATGCTTCTAGACATCTCACTATCATCATCGCCACCCGCCACGCCTATTTTGAAACTTGTTTCATTTGGCTTTATAGCTCAAGCTATGTTTCAAATGCGACGTTGCTTTTGAAACTCGCTTTTCGCACAAGCTTCTTTGAACCTGGGGGGGCAAACAACCTGATTTTTAACTTGTTGATTTTGCCGTGAATCTCTCGTCATGATGCGAACCTTGATGTTGATCTTTTGAATGACTTTGCTTTCGGCAGTCATTTGTGGATCGAGTTCGCCATCTGGCGAGATTCGAAATTTTTGTGGGGCTCTCTACAGGCCTGTAGTGCTTGCTAGCAGCCCCCAGGTGCTAACCCAGTGCTGGGCCTAGCCCTCCGTGCAAGACTGCCACCGTGCGGCGGTCGGATGGACTTTGGCGACGCTTTGTCTGCAGGTTCTAGTCAGCGCGGTGCAAGTGACTCCCCTAGCACTGTGAGCGAAATCAGCAGGCATCTTTACGAGCTTCAGCTTCAGGTTAATACTCTTGAGGCCCACGTGTCCGCTTGTGAAAGGCGAATCAGGCATTTGGAACAGCAGCTTCCTTCCTCGCGAGTCTCCGACTCCGAGAGCACGTGGGCCGCTTCTGTTGTCGGTTCGTTTTTCACTTGCCTTACGCGTCGCTAGCTTGCAGCCTGAGTCTCAGCCTACCCGCTTCATTCTGCCGAGTGATTTGGGGAGTAAGCTGTCATCATGAAGCGGTCGGCCGACCACGCATATGAACAACATCTTGATGAGGTGCTCAGAGGTCCTAAGAGCCGGTTCGTGCAGCCCTGGGAAAGGTCCCCTGTGCTTCAGCCTTTCAGGTTGTTTCCACAGCTTCCCAGGCATCAGCAGGTGGCAGTTGCCGTGCCGCTCGGCTTGTCGAGCGGGCCAGCCCCTCCACCCAAGGATCCTGGCCAAAGTTCCATATCACATGTCGGGCCCAAAGCAAAGTCTCTTGGGAAGTCCTGGAAAGCCAAGATGTCTGACAACAGGCTTGCCACGCTTGTAAAGTGGGAAAGGATTGTGGAAGCTCACTCCGAGCACTTTGGCTTTGTGGCCGAAGCCCGCCGTGAGCCTGAGCTGGCTTCGTACTCCTTGCATGATGTCTTGAGCGACATTTTCTCGGTGAAAGCCAGCAGCACTTTGCATACTCGTTCAGGCCCCCTGCTTCGATTCCTTAAGTTCTGTCACGATGAGAGGCAGGCACCATTTCCTCTTCGTGAGAGCCTGATTTACTTCTTCCTCAAGCAGTATGGTTCTAAGCAGGCCCCTACGTTTGCTAGCAGCTTTCTGGGGTCTCTGGCGTTTTGCTACCATTTGTTAGGCCTGAGGTGTCAAGATGAGGTTTTCTCCACCAGGGTGACCGGGGCGGCCCGAGGCCTTTTCCTTGAAAAGAGAAAGCTTGTGCAGAAGCCACCGCTTCTGGTTGCATTCGTTCTTGCCTTGGAAAATATTGTTCTCGGTCAGGGCGAATTTAGCTGGGCGGACAGGTACGCTGCCGGATGCTGCCTTTTTGCGATCTATGCCCGTGCCAGGTTTAGTGATATGCAGTCTTGTGGAAACATCTTTGAGGATATTGCCTACATTGACGGCAAGCCTCACGGATTCTTGCAAGCCGATGTCACCAGGACGAAAACTGCATACACTTTGGAGAGAAAAACAAAGTTCTTAGCAATGTGCACTCCGATCTGGGGCTTGGCTGAGAAGCCATGGGCAATCGCTTGGAGAGCTATTGCTAAGGACCACGGCCCTCCCTGCGGGGAGGACTTGCCTCTGTTGCCCTCTCCCGTGGAGGGTGGGGGATGGCAGGAATCTCCTGTCGGCGTTGAGGTTGGGGCCCGCTGGCTCCGCAGCCTCCTGCATCGCATGGGACTTGAGCCTGCTGCTGCGGTTAGGCTTTTAGGGACCCATTCGATGAAGGCTACGGTTTTAAGCTGGGCCGCAAAGTGGGGCATGACCAAGGAATTGCGTATGATCTTGGGGTACCACAGCTCCTCTAGATCCGACAGTGATGTGGTTTACGGCCGAGACAACGTAGCCCCAGCGCTGCGAGAGCTGGTTTCCATGCTTCAGTCCATTGCCCAAGGTACTTTCAGACCGGATGCCACTCGAAGCGGCATGTTCGTATCGATTCCAGTTCCTGCGGAGTCCGGTGATGGAGATGACATATCTCTCTCTTCTGAAGGCAGCGAAGACGAGGAGAACAAGGACCCCACCGTGGAGGACGAGGCCGTCGATTCAGTTGTTGGCCTTTGGGAGCCCTCGGAAGGGGTCCGTGAGAATCCTGAGAAGGCGCCTGTCTTCAGGCATGAGGTAACAAGGTTCCTCCACATTGTGGCCTCTGAAGAAGGGTCTCATTTCAAGTGTGGGAGAAAGATCCCAACTTCTTATGTGCGCTGTGAGAGTCTGCCGAAAGTTTTGTTTCCAGTATGCAAGCAGTGCTGTCCCGACGTGAAATCGGTCGAGGCGGGCACTGACGCCGGATAGACTTTTGTTGTCGCAAGGGCGACACAACGAGGGGCGATTTTGTGCTTAAAGAGTTGCTTGCTCGCTTTCATGACGGTTCGAGTCTCTTTTACAAGAGGGGCGAGTGTCTCAAGTTGAACAGTCCATGCTGAAGTCATTGCACATGCGTAGACCAGGGCATTCGACTCCTTATTGGAGACCTGAGAGAGCGCTTTGAGGGATCAAATGCGGGGCGAGCCGAGTGCAGGTACTCTTGTGAATGCTCCTTCGGAAATGTATTCTCAAGGCGCCAACTGGCGGAGGCGGCAACATGGCTGCTTCTTACTCAGATAGCCGTAGTGTTTTTGATGCCAGGGTAGACGCATGTGGGTTGCCGCGGGAAGATGCTGCGAAGGTCAAGGCTGCTGTGGGTTCACTTCGGCAACTTGCTTTCATATCCAGCTTTACTCCGGGTCAAGCGGATGAGGCCCCACTTATGGCTGCTCTGAAGTCGATGCTGAGCCGAGATGCTGAGTTGGCTGTTCAAGCTAGTTTCAGGGCATTATACCACGAGGCTTATGCTATCGTTACTTCGGAGATGCGTCAAAAGATCGAGAAGAGTGAAGAGCCTACGGCAAGGAGGCTCACCCAGCCCGAGCGTGCCGAGAGGCATGAGAAGCAAGTCGCGAAGCTCGTGGGCGTGCTTATCAAGGGCCCTTCGGAGCCCAGCGAGGCACTCGTCGATAAGGCCGTGTCAGCTTATGAGCAAAATGAGCTGAGGTACATTTCTTGGGAATCTTGCACCTCCCGGGAACAAGAGGTTGCATCGGAATGCAAGAAGGATACTCGCTTTACGATCGATGAGCACTCAGGGAAGCTCAAAGTTGAGAACAAAGATGCTGAGGACAAGGCCTCCACTGCGTCGGAGGTCCATGTGCTTCAGGCTTTGCAGAGGCGATCACTTGCCCTGGATCAGGCCAATCTTGTTGAGTACACCCTGATGCAGCAATGGTCGGACCGCCTGTTGCGAGCCAGGATGGACGATCCGCCGCCCCAGTACAGCCGTCTTGTGGCTGCAGACAAGAAGCTCTTCAGTGAGTTGAGAGACCTGACGAGAGACGGAGTTCAGTCATCAAGTGGAGGGGTACGCCCGCTCGACAAGCACCTCCCTGCTGTGATGATGTCGTACGATGTGGTCTGCTTGATCCAGCCCATGCCTCAGTCGGCAAGGAGCGCCCCGCTCCCTACACTCCCAAGGGTCCTAGAAAGGGCGCTGGGAAAGGCAAAGAGGGCAAGGGAAAGGGACGCATGCCTGCACAGCTTATTGCTTGGGGCTGCACTTCGACTACCAAGAAAGGAAATCCTTATTGTTATGGGTTTCAGCTTGGCAACTGCACCAATGCTGTGACCAACAATGCCTGTGTGAGAGGCTTGCATGCTTGTGCCATCCCGAAGTGCGGGCAGCACGGGCACGGGGCCTCCGCGTGCCCGAAGAGGAAGCAAGAGTGACGGTGCCAGGCGAGCACAACGACGAATGATTCGTCAGAGTCAATCGGTCGTGTGGCCGGTGTTGGCCAGGCAGGAAATGATTCGGATGCCCAAGCCAGCCAGAGCTCGGGACCGGAACACTTCCTCGGCGGATCATCTTTCGAGGCGGATGCGCATGGGCAACCAGCTTCCAGTTCTTCTCAGCACGATAAATTTTCCGCAATTCTTCAAAGGTGCCTGAGCTTTTTCGACAGCCTCCCAAACGAGTCAGTTTGGACCAAAGCCCAATCTCATCGAGACCAGGTTGGGAAGGCTTTTTACAGCGGGGTGTATTCTAAGGGTGTCGTAGGGCTGCGAACCTCGGTCCACCGGCACCCCGAGGAGGTGAAAGTTCTGACTTCGTTGATTCGAGCCGTCGACCCAACGATGCTGTTTTCCAGTTTGGTCGTCACCGAGGATTCTCGTGTTGGCGTCCACAAAGATGCTCAGAACGTCTGCATCCAGAACTTGATCATCCCGATGACTCGTTTTGGGGGAGGCGAACTGCTTCTAGAGGATCCCACGGGATCCTTGGTTCAGAGGGGTGAGATTTCTTTCAGGGCTCGCGCCGTGTCCTTGGATCAGGGACCCATTGCATTTGATGCCCGCTCTGTTAGGCATTCCGTGAACCCTTCTCGCGGTCGGCGTGTTGTTTTGATTGCTTACTGCTTGAAAGGCTCGGACCGCCTTGCAACAAAAGATTCCCAGTTGCTTCGCAAGCTGGGGTTCGCATTGCCGAATCAGGAGCCTGCTGAGGTTCCCCTCCCCGCTTTCACAGTCGGTTTTCCTGATTTTAGGCCCGCTCTAGGGTTTAGTCCCCCCGGCCCTAGTGCACCTTCGATGGGTTTGTCTTCGGTTAAAGCTTGCCCTTGGTTGTGCCTAGAGCTGTTTGCCGAAACTGGCAATATGACTTCTGCATTGCGGAGCTTCGGGTTCCAAGCCCTTCCTTTGGGACGCCGTGCTAAGGGGCCTATCCACGTGACCCCGCTGGACCTTTCTCGCCCCCTGTCTTGGCAATACGTGAAGAGGCTTGTACAAGCTGGGGATGTGTTCGTGGTACATCTCTCTCCGCCGGCTCGCGGTTCGCTTGCCGATGCAGTGGCTCCGCTCGTCGACTTCTGCTGCTGGCTCCGTTCCGAATTTCCTTCTGTGCACTTCTCCGTTGTGTGCCCCGCCTCCGCGGCCCCTTGGAAACAGTCTGGCTTGCTGGATCTTCAGCGGTCTTGCATTCAGGTCTCCTTTTATGCGGCCGGCTGTGGTCCCGGGCCACATGAAAGCTTTCTCTTGATGTCTTCGTTGCCCAAACTTCGGGTTTTTGAAACTCCGGCCGATGCCTCCACGATCCCCTCCGGCAGTCAGGTTCGCGCGGCTGCCGCCGCGCCATCGTTCGTGCACACGAACCACTTTTGTGAAAGGTTTGCATCTGCCGTCGCCCTGGCCGCCGGTCAACTTGACACTGTGCCGACACAAGCCCTTGTTACCAATGCTTCGGCCCGTACCGCCAATCAGCTCCAGCCGCGTGTTTCAAAGGCCGTCGTGCTAGTCGAGGAATACCACTATCAAGTTACCGTGCCCGCACCTTCGAGTGCCCTGCCCTCTCTTGACCCTAAGAATTGCCTCGTGGAGGCATTAGGCCCTGTTCCTGCCGGCTCTCGGGTTCTTAGGGTTGATTTTGAGGCGGGGGTAATTTTCCCTAAGCGCCCTCGACCCGACCGAAAGGTTTCTTCTCAGCTGTCTGACATGGGAATCGGAAAATTGGTTTCCATCACGTGTGGAGTCTACCGAAGCCCTCTTCAGTTTGCTGAGCGAGCTTTGAATGTTGGCCATCCTTGTGACATGTGCAGGGCGCTACCCGATCAAGCTATGACCGTCCTGGGCCATCTGCTCATCGAGGGTCCTGTCAAGGTCCTCAGACGAAGGCTGGATATGATAACCCAGTGGAAAGCTTGGGCAGCCGAACTAGAACCGGCCGAGGCTGAACTACACAAATCTTTAGCCCCTTCCGTTGCCGAAGTGGTCAAAGGAAAGCGCCTGCTCCTCCTTGATCGCATAGCCAAGTCCCTGCAATGGCCTGACACCCGCTTGCATCAGGATATGACCAGTGGTTTCAAGATCGTGGGCGAGGAGTACCCGAGCGGAATTTTCCCCCTTGAGCCTCGACCGGCGACCCTCACGCCTGAGGAGTTGCTGGCTCAGTCTCGATCAACCAAGCCCTTGATCTGGGAACAGATCAACGACGCTCCACTGGATGCGAACTCTCGTGAGCTTTTTGAAATCACTGAGGCTGAATACCGCGAGAAGGGATGGCTTGAACAACCACGCACTTGGGAAGAGCTTGAGCTTTTGTTCGGGGATTGGCTCCCGGCCAAAAGGTTTGGTGTACGCCAACGCGACAAGCTGCGCCCCATTGACGACTTAGCCGCTAACGGTGCAAACAGTGCATTTGCCGCTTGTGACAAGCTCACCTTGCGTGCTTTCGATGAGCTTGTTTGGTGTGCCACTTACATCATGCGAGTACTTGTGCAAAAAGGAGCCGTCCACCTTGTGCTCTCCTGTGGTCGGGTGATCTCGGGACCTCTCCACGACTTCTGGAAAATCAAGACCGATCGTGCCCGCCCCTTGTTGAAAACTATCGACTTGAAGGCGGCGTATAAACAGCTACCGCTCCACCCGGAGCATCGCAGGTTTTGTGTGGTCGCCTTGAAACACCCAGACAGCGGCCAAGTTCGGGGCTACGCGTCGAGAGTCCTGCCCTTCGGGGCCTCGGGGAGCGTGACATGCTTTAACAGGGTTGCACGCTTGATCCAACGGATTCTTCAAGAAGCCTGGATCTTAAACTGTAACTATTTTGATGATTTTCCGGTGTTGGAGTTATCCGCCCTGTCGGGGAGCGCCGACTCCACTGCCCATTGCATACTTGACCTACTCGGCTTCGAGTGCTCTACCGAGAAGGAAGAGCCGTTCAAGAGCAGTGCCGACGTCTTGGGAGTCACTGTAGACCTTTCTTGTGAAGACTTGTCCGAGGTGCGTGTGCGCAACCGGGAGGTAAAGTGCTGCGAGGTGGCGGCCTCCGTCGATGAGGTTCTTGAGAGGGGCGCCATTCGGTCTGCGGAAATCGCTTCTCTCTTCGGGAGGATTCAGTTTCTTGAAGGGCAGCTTCTGGGACGTATGGGGCGACTGGCTTTGTCTGAGCTTCGCTCCCTTGGGACTTCCGGGGGTATCCTCAAGCTCGGCGGCTCAGAACGTCATGCCTTCCAGAATCTTCGTGAGCGTTTGCTTCATGGACCGCCTCGGGCGATCTCCGCTCGCCCACCTGGGGCTAATGTTATTGTGTTTACAGACGGCGCCTGCGAGCCGGAGGGTGATAGCATGCTGTGCTCCATCGGTGGGGTGCTGTATGTTGAGAGCTCCGGCAAGTGGGCCACTCGACACTTTGGCTGCCGACTGCCCGATTCGCTTGTCAAGACTTGGAGTGCTTCTGGGAAGAAACACTTGATAGGGCCCGTTGAGTTGTACGCAGTGGCGACAGCAAGACTGTTGTGGCGAGAGTATCTCGATTTCGCCAAAGGCATTTTCTTCATCGACCACGCCGGTGTGCACGCCGCGTGTGTCAATGGATCGTCACACGATCGCCTCTGGCGGCTCATCCTTTTGAAGCTTGAGGAAGCGGATGCCAAACCTATGATCGCCTGGTATGCCCGCGTTCCTAGCCAAAGCAATCCTGCAGACCCTCCGTCTAGGGCTAGGGGGTCCAGCCTTTTCCCAGTGTGGGGCACATGCTCGAGGGATCATCCGAAGTGCTGCATATCCGGCGAGCTCTTGAGTTCGTTTGGTGAGACGGGAGATTGTTGAACGAGCTCAATCCTCGTGAATGATGCTCGATCGGCTTTCTCTCGAGTGTCGGATCTTTCCCGAATCGGCTGTGCCGCCTACAGTGCCTACAGAAAAAAGAGTGAGTCCGATGAGTGTGCGTTCTGCAAAGCTACAATTGTCTGCACATTTATATCCCTGTGCAATATATGATTGATTGATGTTTTGAGAATGACTCTTTTCAATTATTATATTCGTGCGAAAAGTAGCTTTAGCTACAAGCCTATTTTGAAACTTGTTTCATTTGGCTTTATAGCTCAAGCTATGTTTCAAATGCGACGTTGCTTTTGAAACTCGCTTTTCGCACAAGCTTCTTTGAACCTGGGGGGGCAAACAACCTGATTTTTAACTTGTTGATTTTGCCGTGAATCTCTCGTCATGATGCGAACCTTGATGTTGATCTTTTGAATGACTTTGCTTTCGGCAGTCATTTGTGGATCGAGTTCGCCATCTGGCGAGATTCGAAATTTTTGTCCCACCCAACCCACCCGGGAGATTGTTGAACGAGCTCAATCCTCGTGAATGATGCTGATTCGGCTTTCTCTCGAGTGTCGGATCTTTCCCGAATCGGCTGTGCCGCCTACAGAAAAAAGAGTGAGTCCGATGAGTGTGCGTTCTGCAAAGCTACAATTGTCTGCACATTTATATCCCTGTGCAATATATGATTGATTGATGTTTTGAGAATGACTCTTTTCAATTATTATATTCGTGCGAAAAGTAGCTTTAGCTATAACCATGCTTAACCCGAAATCCTGGAATCCCAAGCCGGCCCAAAACCCAAGACCCTGATTTAATCCGGCCTCGAAGATGCCGAAGTTGCACAGTCACACCTTTCTAGAGCCGGATGTGTGTGTGTGTGTGATGCTTGTGTGGTGTTGCTTTGAATTTCGCATTCCTCGAAGTCTGAATCTCTCAACCTACCGATGTTTTGCGACTCGATACACACAATGCTCTCATGGTCCACTCAACCTACCGCCGCTCGACAGAATGCTCTCATGGTCCACTCAAGGTTCACACAACATGCGTGACAGCACAGCATCACACAGCTCGCAACAGCCAGTGATCACAAAGCTGCACTCTGATTTTGGGGTCGCCGCCCAAGCAGCACACACAGCTTCCACGAATCTGTCCACGTTGATCCTTCGCAGATGTATGGCAAAAAGTGCCAATCCTGCATGTCACATCTGATTCCGTGGAGGGACGAAAGCCCTCGCTTCTATAGCAAACAGGCCTCACACACATCTCCCATCTGATTCCGTGGAGAGTCTGCTCAGGAAATAAAGCGACACACGACTTCTTCTTATGCTTTTACTTATCACTATTGTGTTTTCAAGTTCAAAAACCCATACAGAACAATGCAGCAGCAGGCTCCACAGGCTTTGTGCACAACCGCATACGGTTCCTATCAAAGTAATCAGCACAAACATACTATAGTCACTGTACTAACACCTATCAACCAACATGTCTGATTGTGTGCACACACAGAGGAATCTAATCTTCAGGCTCCTTGTCAGCACCCTCGGGGTTAGCAGCATCAGCAACACACTCAGAGTCATCCTCTCCCTTCATGTCCTTCAATTTGGCCTTCTTCTCCTTGGGATTCTCCGAGTCAAACTGATCACCTGCACGCTTGGCAGCAGCACGACCAAGTTCGGAGGCCGCCTCCTTCTCAACACCCGGCTTCATTTGCCGATCTCTCTCGTTGAGGTAGGCTTTGGAGACCGCTCGTTTCCGGATGGCTGTCCTGTCCATCTTCATCTTCTTCTTCTCTACACCATCATGCTCATCCTCGGGGAACTCCTCGGCCTTCACCGCAGACTCAGGCTTCACCTTAGTGTTGTGCGACTCGGGCTTCTCCTTCTTAGTCTTCTTCTCACCTTTGGCCTTCGCGGTCGCCTTGGATTTCGGTGTCGACTTTGGGCTCGCCTTCGATTTCGGGGTCGACTTCGGGGTAGCCTTGGCTTTCGGGTCCGACTGCTTAGACTTTGGGCTCTCCTTGCTCTTAGGGATGTCTGGGCTCTTCTTGGAGTGCCTGATTGCGGGAATCGTATCCTTCTCTTCGGAGATCTCGGGGGCTTCGCCGTCCGGGGACTCGATGGCCTTCTTGACCTTGCTTGGCGTGGCGCTGAAGACCTGGACTTATTAGGGATCGCATTCTCAGTCTTCTGATTCGCCTCGCTCTTCTTGTTCGCCTCTCCGTTCTGCTTGCCTTTCCCTTTCCCCTTCTTCTCAGGGCAGTTTTTGCGGAATATGATCAACTGGGCTTTGTTTTCAAAGGGCTCCACAGATTCGGCTTGGCTCAACAAAAAGCTGAAGTGCACGTCCATGGGGCTGCTTGTGCTTTTTGTAGCATCAGGTGGGGCCCGACTGCTGCTACTAGGTCCAGGAAGATCTTCGCTCTCTGCCTCTTCTGAACTTACTCTGCTCAGAACTCTGTCAAAGACTGCCATGGGGTCGAGCCGACGGAGGCTGGGCTTTGGTCTAGGGTCGTCTTCCAAGGCCAGGGGCCTTGCAACCGCAGGCCTTGCATCTTCAGGCCTTGCATCTGCAGGCCTTGCATCTGCAGGCCTTGCATCTGCAGGCCTTGCATCAGCAGCACCATCTGTCAAAGCAAGCATTCCCGGAGGAGGCTCGCTGACAGACTCCTGAGATCCGTCCTCTAGGACGGGGCCACAATTCATGATGTCGAGGACATCCTGCACAGCCGTTTGCTCAGCCGCTGTCATCATAGCAAAGCACCGCTGCTTGGTCTTGGCTTCCACCTTCAGGCGCCTGAACATGGCACACCCGATCCTGATGCCTTCATCAGTCAAATCGACGAAGTCGTTGTCCGATTTCCGAGTGTGATTAATTTTCTCATCCTGCTCGTTCATTTTGGCCGAGGCTGTTCTGACCTTCTTCGGGCTGAGCATACCGTTCGGAGCGAGGAGCATGAGCTCTTTGTAGAGGTCGGATACACCCGCCATCCAGGAGCCTATCGGGGACTTTTTGAAGGTGAGCCCGCGAGGCAAGTTCAAGGCCTTGAAGAAATCCCTTGTCTTTCGGGATTTCAGCCACTTGCCGAACACACCTGTGATATCTTCCACACCGATCGTGGGATCGGCGACCAACCGTCCCGTCTGTCCGGTGAGAGCCATGCTGCGGCAGCAGGGCAGCTGTACAAAAGCTTGTGAAACCGAAAGCGGGGTCGCTATACTTACTACCGAGCACAGAAAGCCCGAGTCCTGCCGGCAACATGTGAAACACAGGATTCAGACCTCTCAAGGTCGTTTACAGATTGTGTCCCCGCAGACACAACTGCTCCTAGCCCTCGAGGTAAACACTCTCTGTGCAACACTGAACTTTCAAAGTAAATACTCTCTGCACAACACACTAAACTCTCAAGGTGTAAGATATGTGCTGTCAAAGTCTCACACCTCTCTCAAGGTCATCTACATATTCCCTCCAACTGCTCAGAACTCTGTCGAGCGCGCACGATATACCTTTATGAAACGTCGGACAGCCTTCCATGGGAAGGCGGTTTCAAAATGTGAGCTTTTGACTCACTCTTTTTTTTTTAGGCGTGTTGCGGATTTTGTTTGAAAAGTAGTCGGACACACCTTTTGAGCATGCAGACTACTTTTCAATGTTGATTGAAGTTTGACTCAATTGCTATGGGAATTATTGCATGTATGCTCTCATGCCGTTGCCAGTTTCCTCAATCAGTGTGAGTGAGGAAAACAAATTTTGTTGGGGCCTTTTGAGGTTCAGGACCCTGCATTGAACCAGGGCCCCTCTCTCGACGTTGGGCTTAGCCCACCGTGCACGCCGCTGTCGCCGACAGCGGCAGATGGCAGCAGAGCTGAAAGATGGGCGAAGGTGATGAATCTGCCCCGTTCGACAGTCGGGCAGTGGCCTTTCATGCAGCTCATACTTGGAATGCTTATAAGAGATCGGTAGGCATCTTCCCGAGCCCTCCAGAACAAATGCATTCGCTCTTCAGGAGAAGCTGCCTCTTGCCTAGGCCGACAGGGCTCTTGCCCCCAGCGCCGGGTCCAGGGCCGATGGCCGCTTCTTCCAGCTCCGGCCCAGATCTTGGAGCCTCGCAGTCAGCATTCCTTGCAGCGGGACTGAAGCCATTGTCAGCCCGAGATGCTCACTTAAGGTCTAAGGCCCTGGATGCTAATAGGAAGTGTGCCTTGAAGAAGTGGGTTACGCTTGTTTCCTTGGATTTTAACGCCTGGGGTGTAGCCAAGCAAGCCATGGGGCCTTTCGATCCTAAATTTGCCACAGGAGGCTTGGTGGAAAGTGTGCAGGATTGTCTTGCAGACAAAGCCACAGCTACCTTGCACCAACGCGTGGGACCCATCTTCAGATACGTGCACTTCTGGAAGCTTCAGTTCGTAGTGTGCCTGCCTGTGAGAGAGCACCAGCTCTACGATTACTTCAAGGCAAATCCGAATGCGGCCCCGACTTCGTTCAGGTCGCTGCTTATCGCTTTCAGCTTCGCCAAACATCTGCTAGGCTTGATCGTGTTGGACGAAGCCCTGAGCAGCGGGAGGATCGTAGGGCTTGCAAATGCTCATTACTCGACGAGGTGTGCAGTTAAGCGCAGGCCTGCTCTAACCGTGGAGCAAGTCAAGCGACTCGAAGCTCTCGTGCTCAGCCTCCTGGCGCGGCCAATGGACCGAATCGCAGCTGGGTGTTTTCTGCTTATGATATATGGTCGCCTACGGTTTTCAGACATGCAACGCTCTTCAGGTTTCGCGATTGATTCAGCTTTGATTGATGGCGTGGAATCAGGGTACCTTGAAGGGCAAGCCGAGAGGACCAAGACCTCGGTGTCGCTTGAAAGGAAGATCCGCTCTCTTCCCATCGCTGTTCCGTTGAAATGCGTAGGAGGTAGGCCTTGGATCAGAGCATGGCTTGAGCTTCGAGAGGCAGAGGGTCTCGATAGTTCGTATCCTACACTTCCGTGCCCCGCAACCGGAGGCGGGTGGACAAGACTTCCGCTTAAGGTCTCAAGTGGAGGCGCCTGGCTGAGAAGTTTGATTCCTGGCGCGAGTGCAGCATCTGGCGACGTCCAGATCGCGACCCACTCTTGTAAGAGTACACCGCTCTCCTGGATGGCGAAAAGAGGCGTGCCGGCCGGCCCTCGTCGCACTCTGGGTTACCACGTACCGCGCAAGGACAAGTCGTTAATCATTTATGCCAGGGATTCACTAGCGGCTCCATTGCGCGAGCTGGACCGGGTAATCGACGAGATTGCCGCCGGTAGATTCAAGCCGGATCTCACTCGAAGTGGGATGATAGCCAATCTTGCAGATCCACAGCTTCCACCTGAGCATGAGGAGGAGGCTGACGCCATATCATCGAGCTCTAGCGAGGCGTCCGATGATGAGGAAGAGGCTCCCGTGAGTGACGAGGAGCAGGCCTTGGAGCAGATCGCCGGTCAGTGGGGCCCCGAGCCCGGCGACGGGCCTTGGGCTCGTCACAAACAGACTAGGTTTTTGCACAAGGTGAGAGATGAGGCCGGGACCCACTTGAAGTGCGGTAGAGCGATCTCGGTGCGTTTTGAGATTTTAAGCGAGGCGCCAAGATTTATGTATCCTACATGCGCCACCTGCTTTCCGAACTCCTGAGGTTCAAAAGCCGTGTCAGGAGTCAACGCCACGCGTGGGCGAAAATCGCGGGGTCTGAGAAAAGGCAACATGCAAATGTCACCTTGGTCGTGGATGAATAACCAGCGCGATCTCGTAGTGACTGCTTGTGTCTTGGAAGTGCAGAACTACAAGTGCTGTTTGAGCGATGCTTGTCACGTGAATTGTGTGTTGCACTAGGGAGCTGCCGATGACAAAAGTGATTGCAAGGCGTGCTGGGCCCTAGTCTGAGCTTGACAGTCTAGAAAGAAAGAGCCATGTCGTTTGGAGAGAGTGCGGCTGTCTTCAAGGCGCGAGCCAAGGACATTGGAGTTTCAGATGAGAGCTTCGCGAAGCTTGAGGCGGAGGGACTGACAACGATGGCAACTTTCGCCTTCTGTTGTCATTTCAACCCGTCTGCGACAGACGAGAAGCCTCTCACCGACCTGGTGACCAAGGTTCTCGGTGCTGCGCCTTCCCTTAAGGAGATGAGTTGCTTTCGGCGTCTGTTCGCCGAGGCATACGCAACTGTTGCATCCGACATACGAGCTCAAGTGGAAGCAACGGAGGATTCATCGATCAAGAAATTAGCTCCGGCCGACAGGGCCGAGCGTTTGCGGGAGCAACAGGCCAGGCTCAAAGGTCTTGACTTGAGGGGCAACATGGAGCCAGGCGATTCCTTGATAGATCGGGCTGTGGCGATCTACGAATCTGACAGACTCCAGTATGTGGAGTGGCAGCATTCTGTCAGCAGGCAGCATGAGCTTCTTACCGGGCTCAAGAAGGATGCATCGCTTACTTTGGATTCTGCAGGCGGCCTGAAAATTGCCAGCAAGCCCAATGTAACTCCTTGCGACGTGTCGAATGACATGATGGTTCGCTACGCCTTAGTGCGAAGGGGCCTAGCCTTTGAACAGGCGAACATCATGGCATACCATTTGCACGATGAGTTGCTTGAAAAGTACATGTCGTTCAGGCTTACCGACCCTCCTCCGAATCATGCACGGGTGAGCTTGAAACAGATTGAGCAAGCTGATCGACAATTTACCTTGTTGCTCGCGGAACACACTCGCAGCGGCATCAAGGTGAAGGCGGGAGGATCGCGGCCATGCGATGATGCATTCCGCAAAGTGTTCGAGAGCACTGAGTTCCTCTCGATGCTAACCCCGAGGCCTCTTGCAGCGGGATCAGGAGCTAGCCGTGACGCTTCCTCAGGTGATGAGCCCCCGATCAAGCGCCATAAGGGCAATGGCAAGGGCGTGGGTCGTGGGCGCGGGGGTAAGGGCGCCGGCAAAGGATCCACCAATGCCAGGGTCCCGGCAGAGCTCCTCGCACTCGGGTGCGTGGCCGCCACGCCTAAAGGACATGCCTTATGCTTCGATTACTCGCTAGGGAAATGCTCCCGAGCAGTGGCCAACCAAAGGTGTGAAAGGGGATTGCATTTGTGTGCAGTCAAAGGATGCCACAGAGGGCACCCAGCCAAGGAATGCCCTGCGAAAAAGGCGCCTTCGTCGTGACTAATGAGTCCGACGAGCGCGCGCGCCCCACCATCGCCATTGGCGCACGGTGGGAGCGATGTCACAGAGAGCCATGGCTCAACTGCCGGTGTGGAGCCAGCAGATGATCAATCGCTCAACGATTCTTCTTGTTTTCCCCCTGAGCCACCCTGTAAGGCGGCTAAATTAGACGATGCATATGCCTTTTGCGAATCTTTGGCAAGCCACTTTTTGCAATCTTCCGACTTCAGTGCAACTAACATAGCGTCCATTTTGGACGCATTTCCTTCGGAGGACCACACTCGAACTTGGCTGGAAGCCGATGGAGACTCCAAAGCCATTACGGTAGGTGCGTGCAACCGAGGCGGGGTCACAGCAGTTCGCAGTAACACACGCCGCATGCCGGCGGTGGCAAAGTATCTTGCAGCTTGTGTCAAGTTGGTTGCACCGAAATGCGAGTTCACATCCGTGTCTGTGCACCGGAACCTACAAGCCCCAATGCATCAGGACTCCTTCAACAGCAGTGTGCCTAACGTCATTGTCCCACTATCCTCCTTTGCTGGAGGACACATCTTCGTCGTGCATCCTGAGGGCCCAGACCAAACAACCTACGAAGATGTTCCGTGGACAGGTTTCAAACTCGATTGTGCTTCTCATGCTTGGGCTTTTGATGCTAAGCACTGCAAACACTTTACTTTGCCGTGGAAAGGCTCCAGATCCCTTCTCGTTGCCTTTACCGTGGGTCACCTCTCGGGTTTAGCTCCCGGTGACAGGGATTTCTTGACCTCCCTAGGGTGTAGGGTCCCCTGCCAGGATGTACAACAGGGCCCCACCATGAAGCCGTACCCTTTGCAAGGTTACGATTCCACAAGTGTCCACCGACTCGGCGCCGCTGGCTCAGCCGAGTCCGGCCTTCCCTTCTGCTGAGTTGCCCGCCGACGGGCCTTTGGTGATCGAGCTCTGTGCCGGGTCCGCCATTCTCAGTCAGACGGCCGCATGCCGCGGCTTTGCAATCATGCCAGTGGATCATGCGCACAATCGCCACGCTCCCAAGTGCAAAATCGTGAATCTCGACTTGACAAAAAGCCACTCCTGGGAGGTCCTCAAATTTGTAATCAAGTCCCGGCGGGTGGTGATGGTGTTTGCTGCTCCGCCTTGCGGCACCTGCAGTGCTGCTCGCAACTACCGCCCGGGACCCCCAGTGCTCCGCACTACCTCACATCCGTGGGGTGTCCCGTGGGCCTCTACCAGAGACTGTGTCAAGCTTAAAGCTGCCAATGCAATATACAAACACCTTTGTGCTTTTCTTGAAATGTGCGATCAGCACTCCGTGCCTTGGTGCGTGGAGAACCCTACCAACAGCATGTTCTGGGAACTGCCATGTCTCGCGTACCCTTTGGCTCATGGTTTCTTCGCACATTGTCAGGCATGCGCTTTCGGCAGCGAACGCGACAAGAAGACCTCCTTTTTGTGCAGCAGCTCGTGTATCTCTCGCATGGCTCTCATGTGCCCAGGCTGCAAACAACATGCATCATGGGGCCAGACCTCTTCTGCCACCTTCGCCACGGCGGAGGAAGCAGCTTACCCACCGGCCATGTGTCAGGCCTTGTGTGATGTCTTTGAGTCTGAGGCTGCGCGCCTCAACTACACGTTGGGCTCGGCTCATCCAGTCCTGGCCCGAGCCCACAAGCAGCCTCGCGGGCGCCTACACCCGCAACTCCTGTCGGAACATAGTGCAATCCTCTCCCGTCTGCTGCCCCGGGCCCCGACCCTTAATAACAAGCGCTGCCTCAAGCATGATGTTCACGGCGTCCCGGCCGGCAGCAAACTCTTGCGTTCCGAGAATAGGGGAAGTAAAGGTGTCTTCTGTGTCTTTGGAGTCTTCAGGAGCCCAGAGTCGTTCGTCAGAGAGGCTAAGCTGCTGCACCACCCGTTTGATTCCCTGGCACAGCTACCAGACTACTTGATCAAATCCCTGTTTGAGCAGATAACAAAATCCCCTGCGGAGATCTGCAAGCTCAGACTTCTTCGTCTTCAAAGATGGAGAGCCAGAGCGACGGAGCTGGCGCCAGTCGAGCATGCACACCGTGCCAAGATGCAGCCTTCAGTGAGGGAAATCCTCGCCAACAAGCGTACGGCTCTCCTGGAGGAGATGGCGGCCGAAATTGATTGGCCGGACAAGGGTCTCTTCTCAGAAATGCGCCAGGGCTTCCGACTCGTTGGCTGCCTGAGCCCTTCTGGTGTGTTCAGGGAAGGAGGGTACCTCGCCTCCATCAGCGAATCGGAGTTGATGGAAAACGCTGATAGCATCAAAGATTCTCTCTTGTCACGTGTGTCATCTGATCCTCTTGACGAGAACGCTGACGAGCTGTACGATGTGACTCTTCAAGAGTCAAACCAGAAAAAGTGGCTAGAAGGGCCGATGTCTCCCGAAGACATTGGAAAGCGACTTGGGGCATGGATCCCAGTGCGCCGCTTCTGTGTTGTGCAAAAAGGACGCTTGAGACCGATCGACGACTTCAAGGAGAATCTTGTAAACCAAGCCTGCTCTACAAGCGAACGGATCGTGCTTCAGGCGATGGACCATCTTTTATGGTCTCTTTCTGTGTTGTGCCATTTCTACCGGAAGCGAGGAGCCGTCGATTTCACTTTGTCCTCTGGAGAGAGGTTGACGGGGCACGTCCACCCTGACTGGCAGAAATCGGGGGCGAGCATGCAAGTCGCCACCTTGGACTTGAAATCCGCATACAAACAGCTACCTTTGAGTCCCTGCGATTTCGACAAAAGCGTGGTGACCTTGAAGGATCCGAAAACGGGATCCATCTCTTGCTTTGTCATGCGCACGCTCCCATTCGGAGCGCTTGCATCAGTGTACCACTTTCTGCGCGTCAGTTTGCTGTTGCATGCCCTCGGGTGCCACCTAGGAGCATGCTGGTCCGCATACTTCGACGATTTCCCCATGGCAACGCATTCGCTTGTGGCCACGTCAACTTCGGCTCTAGTTAAGGGGTTCCTTAAGTTAGCGGGGTTCGACTTTGCAGATGAGAAGTGCACGCCTTTCTCTGCCGATGTCGAAGTCTTGGGAGTTACTCTGGATGTATCCCAGAGCACGGAGGGACTCATCAATATCCGAAACAAGCCTTCCAGGTGCGAGGAGCTGAATGCTGTGATTGAGGAGGTTCTTAGGGATAAGTCCATTGTCCCCTGCCGGTTACCCTCCTTCATAGGCAAACTTCAGTTCGCTGACGGTCAAATCTGGGGCCGGGCTGGGCGCATGGCCTTGCGCGATCTAAGGACTTTAGGGTTCACTTCTAGGGTGCCGGTTTCCCTCGATGCCAGCGGGATCGATGCGCTCAAAATCCTCCAGCAGAGGTTGATGCATGGAAAGCCTCGCGTCATCCGGGCCGGATGGAAAGAAAAGCCGATACTGCTGTTCACAGATGGAGCACTGGAAGATGACAACCACGATCACGGACCGGCCACCGTGGGGGCAGTCATGTTTAAGCCGAATGAATCCAATGTGTACGCTTTCGGATGCGAGGTGCCGGCCAACGTACTGTCTCATTGGAGATCCGACGGCAAGCGTCATGTCATAGGTCTTGTGGAGCTTTATGGAGCCATTCTGGCTCTTCGGCATTGGCGTAAACACTTGGACGGCAGACGAGTGATTTTGTTTGTCGACAATTGGCCAGCACTTGATACTCTTGTCAAAGGAGATGCCACCGTCGCAATTTGGCGGGAAATTCTTATGATCCTTGAAAACCCGCAGGAAGCATCACCATGCTATTTATGGATAGCACGAGTACCTTCAGCGTCCAACATCGCAGACGCCCCGAGCCGTGGATCGCTTTCCGAGCTTAGTCAATGGCCGTTATGCGTCGAGGTGCCCAATTGCCCGCTGTCGAAAGTTGCTCTGAAGTCGATTGTGTCTCAAGGCTAAAGCAGACTGGGGGATTTATGCTTCGAGGTGCACGGTTAAACCGGGCACGTCACAATGAGCTGTGGCTCATGTCTTATGCCGGGTCGAGGGGCCCGGCACAGGATTCATCCCCAGTTTGCCGATGCGTGTAAAACAATCGAGTGAGCAGCTTGCCAGCAGTCACTATTTTGATATGCTTCGCAAATATGTTTGCGAGCCCAAATATCATTTCGGGCAATACTGATTTGTCAACCTTGCAATTGCTTGTATGCCATATTTCCTCGAAGGGGAATTGTACACGCCCCCACGATCGTGTTATTCTTATATCCTTGTTGATTAACTTTTGAAACTCCGACGAACTTCATAAGAACTCTGTCGAGCGCGCACGATATACCTTTATGAAACGTCGGACAGCCTTCCATGGGAAGGCGGTTTCAAAATGTGAGCTTTTGACTCTCTCTTTTTTTTTTTTAGGCGTGTTGCGGATTTTGTTTGAAAAGTAGTCGGACACACCTTTTGAGCATGCAGACTACTTTTCAATGTTGATTGAAGTTTGACTCAATTGCTATGGGAATTATTGCATGTATGCTCTCATGCCGTTGCCAGTTTCCTCAATCAGTGTGAGTGAGGAAAACAAATTTTGTCCCACCCACCCGACCCTGTGGGGGATTTATGCTTCGAGGTGCACGGTTAAACCGGGCACGTCACAATGAGCTGTGGCTCATGTCTTATGCCGGGTCGAGGGGCCCGGCACAGGATTCATCCCCAGTTTGCCGATGCGTGTAAAACAATCGAGTGAGCAGCTTGCCAGCAGTCACTATTTTGATATGCTTCGCAAATATGTTTGCGAGCCCAAATATCATTTCGGGCAATACTGATTTGTCAACCTTGCAATTGCTTGTATGCCATATTTCCTCGAAGGGGAATTGTACACGCCCCCACGATCGTGTTATTCTTATATCCTTGTTGATTAACTTTTGAAACTCCGACGAACTTCATAAGACACCTGCAAATTCAATCTCTCAAGGTAAATACCCTTTGTCAACAGCAAACTCTCAAGGTGTAATATATCCTCTCAAGGTCTGACACACCTCTCTCAAGGTCACATCTACATATATTCCCTCCACAACTGCTCCTAAACATGCAAAAGTCTCACATACCCTTGTTGTACAACACTAAACTCTCAAGGTGAGGTATACTCTCAAAATTATAACACACCTCTCAAGGTCATCTACATATTCCCTCCAGCTGCGCCTAAACATGCAATGCTCGAGGGTAAATACCCTCTGTTCAACACTAAACACCCTCATGGTCCGTATATTGCATATGGCTCTCTTATATAAGGTTTCTCTCTACTCTATGAAATATATAACTGTCGGGGCCTGTTGTGTTTGCTGAAGCTGTTTACATATGTTCTCAACCTGCTCTATACTCTCTAAAAAGTGTTCAAGCTGCATATACTTTTTAAAATTTACATATATTCCTAGTGCCGAAAATCTCACTCATAGACTTATATATTCTGCATGCGACCGCACCTGGTTCCATACCACATGCTTTTGTCCCGCATCATAGACCGGCACACACACACACACACACACACACACACACACACGGGGTCAATTGTTGGTTTCGTTCACACCCAACTCTCAAGGTATATGCTGGTGTGTGCCAAATTTCGAGCCACCATGTATAGCAAAGGCATCTCGGGACCCAAAAACCGGGTCGGTCGTCTCGGAAAACAAAACTTCGCTATCCCCCAACAATTCACCACATGCTGGAAAATCAAAAGCTTCGCGAACATAATATATATATATATATATATATATATATATATTTATTTATTTATTTATATATATATAGAGAGAGAGAGAGAGAGAGAGAGAGAGAGAGAGAGAGAGAGAGAGACAGACAGACAGACAGACAGACAGACAGAACAGACAGACAGACAGACAGACAGACAGACAGACAGACAGACAGACAGACAGACAGACAGACAGACAGACAGACAGACAGACAGACAGACAGACAGACAGACAGACAGACAGACAGACAGACAGACAGACAGACAGACAGACAGACAGACAGACAGACAGACAGACAGACAGACAGACAGACAGACAGACAGACAGACAGACAGACAGACAGACAGACAGACCAGACAGACAGACAGACAGACAGACAGACAGACAGACAGACAGACAGACAGACAGACAGACAGACAGACAGACAGACAGACAGACAGACAGACAGACAGACAGACAGACAGACAGACAGACAGACAGACAGACAGACAGACAGACAGACAGACAGACAGACAGACAGACAGACAGACAGACAGACAGACAGACAGACAGACAGACAGACAGACAGACAGACAGACAGACAGACAGACAGACAGACAGACAGACAGACAGACAGACAGACAGACAGACAGACAGACAGACAGACAGACAGACAGACAGACAGACAGACAGACAGACAGACAGACAGACAGACAGACAGACAGACAGACAGACAGACAGACAGACAGACAGACAGACAGACAGACCAGACAGACAGACAGACAGACAGACAGACAGACAGACAGACAGACAGACAGACAGACCAGACATACAGACAGACAGACAGACAGACAGACAGACAGACAGACGACAGACGACAGACATACAGACAGACAGACAGACAGAGACAGAGAGACAGAGAGACAGAGAGACAGAGACAGAGAGACAGAGAGACAGAGAGACAGAGAGACAGAGAGACAGAGAGACAGAGAGACAGAGAGACAGAGAGACAGAGAGACAGAGAGACAGAGAGACAGAGAGACAGAGAGACAGAGACAGAGAGACAGAGAGACAGAGAGACAGAGAGACAGAGAGACAGAGAGACAGAGAGACAGAGAGACAGAGAGACAGAGAGACAGAGAGACAGAGAGACAGAGAGACAGAGAGACAGAGACAGAGACAGAGACAGAGAGAGACAGACAGACAGACAGACAGACAGAGACCAAAAAACAAAGAGACAGAGAGGCAGAAAGACCGTCAAAAAGAAAGACAAATATATATACATATATATCTTGCTATACACCAGAGAGAAGTCGAAACTTCGACCCCCGAGGGGTCGAAGTTTCGACCCCTGCCGGGCCAGACCTAGATCCAAAATCGCAGGAATTCGGGAAGTGTGATTTTGGATATAGATCCAAAATCACAGGTTGAAAATAAAACTGTGATTTTGGATCTGGGATCCAAAATTTTGCGCTGTGATTTTGGAGAACTTGACGCTGGGATTTTGGATATCATATCCAAAATCACAGGATAAGATAAATATCTTGAATTCCTGTGATCCAGGAGATTCCCAGGTCTTCTGGCAAAGATAACTTTCGGCCTAACCCGGTCTATGGGGTTGAAGGAAGGTCGGCTTCTCGCGGGCTGGCAGGGTTTAGAGTGAGTGTTGTAGGCTTTTAGAGTTTTGGATTTGAGCTGTGAGGGTTGAGATTTGGAGTGTCAGGGTTTGGGGTTAGGGTATAGGGCTTTGGGGTTTTAGGGTTTCGGCATTTGGGATCAAAATCTCGGTTTAAGGTTTCGGGTTCGGGTCCGGGGTTTACGGTTTTTTATGGTCGCTAGATTTTCGGGTTTAGGCTTGGGGTATTGGGTTTGTATCGGCTGTCATGTTAAGCGAGTTTTGTGGGTTCGAGGCATTCGCACCGTTCGTATCGCATTGCGCAGATCCCGCTCTACAGAATTTATGTTTGAATGTTGTTCACATCAACCAATCTAACGCATTTGCATTCTCTGGACTTTTCAGGCCAATGGGTGCCACATCGTGCCGACCTTCCGATTGGATTGCATCGTGACATCCAGAACATGATCTGAAAACCCAGTCACGTCATGCCACTGTCTTTCGGCAGAGGAAGGGTTAGATTGAAAACGCCAATACGAGGAGGCGGTCAGAGAAGTTGCAAACGTCCGATGCCAATACTTTTGGTGGAGTCTTCACAGCGGAGAATTGCAGATCGCAATCAGACATGTTTCCAATGACCGATGCCGGTCTCCGCATCCAAGTTGAAGCCAGTGTAGCTCATGCGGTATTTCAGGCAAAACAAGGACTAGCAGGGAGTGGAAGGCTTGTTGCTCCTGCAGGACGGTGCTGTGAAACGCACAACTGCAAGATGTGCGAGCAGCGTGCTGAACGCAGTGTGACAGATTCTTGTGTCTCCATTGCAAAAGAACAACCATGTTGGAGAAAGGCTTGAAGGGGCGTATGCAGTCTAGTTCCATTTTTCGCAGTGTCAAAGGAACCAATCATCGGACGCAGTTTTCTTTTTCTAAGATTTAAAGCAAGTTACACTTTCCTCACAATGGCGCGTTTGATCGCAGTTTCTTCACACTTCGGCATGTTTTTGGCTTCCAGCCTTAGCAAACTCGGCCAGTAGCACGACAGTATCAAAGCAGCTTCTGTGCTCGCAGGACACAGCTACAAGACTGTATTGGTACAGCTCCAAAAATAAGAAAGACTTTCGCCTCACACGGGATTTTGAGCCAGCTCAAGCCCTGGGGTTTCGCCATGTCCACGGCAGCAGCTCCAGCCGGCGACCTTTTTGTCTGTGATTGGCTTTCTTGGTCTGCGCGTGGGTGGCCGAGAGTTTTTCATCAAGGTTTCACCTGTGAGAGCTGTCATCTCGGCAGCCAACGTGTCTGTTGTGGACAAAAGGCATTTACCTCGTTTTGCAGAATGGTAATTTGATGGACTCGTGTTCTCCAGCAGGTGTCCTGAGGTATCGGAGATGGTATGCGGCGGTGAAGGCCCGGTTCGTGAGGTATAGTATCTCAGGAGTCTTTGCGATGTGCTATTGTTGCACTTAGATGGGACCCTTCGGGCAGGTCGTTGCGATGACCACATCGATCCTACTGGTGAAGAAACGCCGGTGCTTGCCTCGTGTTTGATGGGGTCTGGTGTTTTGTCCTGGTGCATTTGCCCGCCAGGAAACGGGCACACCTTTGACGCGATCGTTGAGTCCCTCCAGG